TCATTGTCTAAAACACATGCCAAGTTGAAACCGAAACAGGAAGTCCTCCAATTCCGTGCTTAAATCAAGTCTTCTGCCATTAGCATCCGTACAGCTATATCCACCAGCCGCAACCCTGACTGTTTCTGATGGGATCAAGTTAGACCCCCTCCTAGTCTTGGCTCCTCGGTGAGGAGGTATGACCTTGCCATGAAATCCTTGCTTCATCCCTTCTAAGAACGACCAATACTCCCGTGAAGACTCACTGGGGCGCCGTTCCCACTTCCCTGAGATTATCATCTCAGCCTTCGTTATGCCACTCCAGTTTTTGAAATGTTCAGGCGGCGTATCGAATTCGCCTGGAGCCCCTTCCAGTTTGCGTTGATCGGTAAATCGGTCAACAAGTAGCCAGTGAAGAATTCGCGTCGATATTGCTGAAATCTCGACTGCAGACCAATGCCGCTTGCGTCCCTGGAACGAGATAGAGGCGCCATGCCGGGTCAAGAATACCACGGAATCCAGAATCCCCGCTTGCGAAGCTACCATCAATGCCGATCCCTCTGGGCATCCTTCGAAGTCGATTTGACAACCCATTGAAAGAAGATTCTTCATGACCTCTATATTGCCTATGGCTGCTGCACGACACAGTGGACTCCAACCGTTAACAGGTTCAGTATTCAGTAACTTTCGAAGCCTTTCCAAAGACATCTTGCGGCGGTATAGTCGAAACCCTGATGTGAGGCAAGCAGCCTCTGGGAATGCGGGGCATCTCGGGTTTGTTGACCAGGGCATTGGTGCGAGATCCAAATTCTGAAAGTTTCCGTTGAGAAGCAAAGACGTCATGGATCTCCTATGCATACTGATATGGAGAGCAGACCAGCCGAAGTTGTTAGGTTGATAGGGATCAACAAGCATTCGTGTGAATCTGATGAATGTTGACGGTACTATGCTGCCAGTTTCCGCTTCGTCAGACGTTTGTAGGATGGAATGTAGAACATTGGATCCGAGGTGATCTGTTGTGTGTACATTGACGCCGAGGTTCACCAGATAGAGGATCAAGCCGGATGTTCGACCTTTACAAGCTCCTATCAGTGGGTCCATGCCTTCGTCGTCACGGCGACATAGGTTACTGCCAGCTCGAACAAGCATGGGAACGATAAACGAAGCGTCCGTACTTGTCAGCTTTTGAGTTGCATAGATAAGCGGCGTGCGATTGAAGGGCCCTGTAGCCTCAAGGTCGGCGCCATTCTCGAGAAGAATCCGAATAGCAGTCCTATTAGACCTTTTAATGGCCAGATGTAATGGCGACCAGCCTTTGTTTGGTCTATCTACAGACGTTCGAACAGTCGCCAGACCGGCAACACCGGCTCGTTCCCTGCTTAGATCAGCTTTTGAGTCCTCATCAAAACTATAATTTACGCACCCATAGTTTTGCCTGTTCGCCTGCAGATGATGCAGGAGGATACTTAGCCCTTCATTGTTGGCTGCGCGAACTGCTAAGTAGATGAGACTGCGTGGCTCACTGAGTATACTGCCGCCGTCTGCAAGATATTTATCCAGCATGGTTCGTAAAATAGGATTCAATGAAACATTGCTTATCATGTCCTGAATACCAGTTGTCCCATCTGCATTGTGGCAATTGGCGTTTGCGCCGCTTTCCAGAAGCCATTCGACGATCTGCAACATTCCATGCCTGATAGCAAGCGATAGTGGGGTAAAGCCGCCAGTGCTGTCGTTCGATGTATCAATATCAACGGAACGTTGTCCGCCGAGAAGGGCCTGGCAGGCATTAAGGTTCCCAGAGCGAACGGCGCTGGCGACGGCTTTTGCGATAGCAGAAGACGGTAAATTCTTCGAAATAGACTCTGCAACAAATGACTCGGCTGCATGCGCTTTTAAACGGTCAATGACAGGTTGGTGCTTTGTTTCGTACGCTAAAAGCAGCGGTGTCATTCCATCCGATCTGGCTGTTGTCTCACTTTTCAGTTCCAGCAATCTTTCAACTAAACCGAGGTTGCCTTGTTCAGCCGCAATGTGAAGAGCCAGCTGCCCGTCAGCTGACCTGGCATTGATATTTGCCCCTCGAGACGCGAGGATATTAATGCAATTGATGCTTCCCGTCTTCGCTGCGAAATGCATTGCTGTGAAGGAATTGCCTGCCCTAGCTTCCAAATTTATTTCAGGCAGCTTTTCGAGGAGTATTCCAAGAGCGTCACCGCACCCTGTAGCAGCAACTTGAAGCGGTGTTGCATCATCGACGGTCTCCTCACCGTTCAAAAAACATCGACATCCACTTTCCCAATTTATTGTCCACCTGGACTCTTTGGGTGACAGAAAGCTCAACAAGAATGATGTGGCATCTAGAGCAGCTGCCATATGCACGGCAGTCCACCCGTCTAGGCAAGGAGTAAGGGGGTCGGCTCCCTGGTCCAGAAGAGCGCTTGCGAGGTGAAGGTTCTTCTCAGTTAAATGATAAACGACCCCAGAGAAGCGTGAGAAAGTTGCAGTGCGGAGGTTTGGGCTGGCACCAAACAGTACGGTGAGTTCGAGTATCTTACTCCTGGTTTTTTCTTCATCCATGTTGTTCCACAAATGAATAAGCCCTAAACCAGAAGTTGGATTCGTTTGATTCATTGACGCAGGGTGTGTGTACTGCAAGAACTGTTGGATCCTGCGAATGCTTCTGTCGTCAACCGCTGGCAGTTGGTAAATATGCTCGAGGGCAGATACACCATCATGCCGTCGATGTACTCCAATGCCGCGCCCCAACAACTGGGTTACTGTCATGTGGAGGTTGAGTGTTGCGGATAGCTTTAGCATTTGAATTGCTGATGGTGCTTCTTTGAACGTCGGCCAATAATTGGTCTTTTCGATTAAAAGACAAATCGTGGAGTCGGCGATAGGAAACTTCCAAGGTTCTGTCGAAAAGGCTGAGAGTGCTGGAATAATTGACAGCAGACAGGTTTGCAGATTAGCCTTCTCGTAATGTCTGAGGGCACCTGACTTAACGAGACTTGTGACGATTTGGTCACAAGTCACATGGTACATGCCAGTCTCATCGCTCATCGGCGATAAATTTGATGTGTAATACTCCCAAACCTTGGCCCCCTCTAGAAGCTCGGAATCGCACAATAGAGGCTGAACCAAAAACTCTAGAACGTCTACGGATGGGGGATTGAAGTTCGTAGCGTCCAGGTAATGTTCCCATGGCATTTTCCCATCCGCCCGAAGGTTACGAGCACCAGGGAAGAGCTCTTCGAAACGAATGACTAACGCCAGCTCGGTGTCTGCCTTTAAACAATGCAGTGGGGTTTTGCCTCCGTAGTCGGCGGGACAAGGACGGAAGCCTAGGCGTAGCAGTTGATCCAAGACCTCTTCAGAACCCAATTGAGCCACCAATTGAAGGATTGGAACCGGGGAGTCCCACGCTCCACAAGCAAATTCCGGTCTTTTCAAAATGATTTCGGCGACTCTTGATTCTCGTTGCTGTAGGGCGAGTGATAGAGGTGTATGCCCTTCGTTGTTGCGCGAGGAGAGATTGCACCCGCCATCCAACAAGATATCCCACATCTTGTCGATATGCTCGACAAAATTCCCGTCCCGAATGTCCCGTCTATTAATGTATAAGCCAATTTTTGCAAGTTTCACGGCACCATGCCCTTCCCGAACGTCCTGCTTATTGATGTATAAGTCGTGTTCTGCAAGGACTAGCATGTGCAATAAACCGTTTCCAGTGACGGAGTCTGTGATAGATGATACATCCAGACGTGGATCGCGGACAGCTTCCACAAATGCTTCCGAGGTCGTTAATTGCTCACATGCCGATATTACAAAGTTTCTTTGGGCGACTAAATCTTTTGCAACACGAGAATCAACCTCCAAGTTATTGAGGTAGCCCCATTCATCAGCCGCCTTACTAACAAAGTCCCAGACCAATCGACAAAATTCGAAATGCAGCGGGGATTCGTCGATCATAAGATTCAAAAATTTGCAAAGGTCAAGAAGCGAATCAAGCTCTCCTTGCAGACAATAGTACTTTTCATCGATGGCTGCTTCTTGCATTTCCTGGGAAAATTGATCCAGATCGCTTTGGCCGAGCATTTTGCCTTCATCGACCAGCAGCTGAACCACGGAAAAGTCGCTAGTTCGTGCCCAACAACGGATTGCAAAGCCGACGATATTCTCTGGCACCTTGTCGAAGTATTTGATCAGGACTTGTAAGGTCTCGAGGGTATATTGGGTTCTCCTTGCGGCTGTTCCGACGTGACGCCGGAATTGTTCTGGTATTTCCAAACTTTGACCTATATCAAGGCAAAGCTGCCGCATGTCTCCATTGAGAACATCTACAGCAAACTTGAACGTTTTCTCAAAGAGCCTTTCTGCATCCTCATGGTCGATTTGCATGAGAAGAGCAGCGGTGACCTCCGGCAAGGACAAAGTTGCGGCGAAATGCAATGGGTGGAAGGTTTCGTCGATGATTTCCTTCATTAGTTTGATGATGTTCCCTATTTCGAGGTATTCACTCAAGCCTCTGAGTTCAACGACGAAAACAACGGCCCAGTGGGTGAAATACGCCGCTTTGCTCGGATCGAACAAACGTTTTGCACCAGCTAGCAACGCAGGGTCGTTCCACGCTTCTCTCGCATAACACATCCAATTCTGTGCGGCGTAGCTGTAAAATGGATGTTCCGATATTGTTTGTTGTATCTTTGATATCCCATGAAACGTAGGAACTGGTACATGGTTGAAATTGTCCAGCTGAAGAAACTCTATGCACCGTGTTGCCAAGACCCTGTGTGATCGACTTTTCGAAATGCTGAACATTTGGAACTCAGACAACTTTAGATGGTCGCTCATCAAAAACTCTTCCACTGAAAAGTGAGCGAATTCGAGATATTTTCCATCGTTGGATTTTCGAACAAGACTGCTGCAACTTCGAGTAATAGCGTCTTCCCGGATCACTCCAGACGCTTTCAAAAGCGAACTGTTTGCTGGTACTGACAGGACTCCCTGAAGCTCAGCTATGCTAAGCTTAGGGCTTGCGTGGGCAATGAAGTCGAGAGTCAGTTGGACATGGAATCGCTGTGCTTTGGGGATTTTCCTCAATATGCGCAAGTAGGTTTCCGGTAGATCGGGTGGCAAGCCGCGCAAAGCTTCTCGGCATTGTGCATCAGATATACAGGATCCGAGGTGGTCGAGCTGACAGGCAACCCAGCGGAACCTGTTTCACAATTAGCTTCATCAAACTCATCAAGTATTTTGGCTATTCTGGGGCGATCAATAACTTACATTCCATTGGCGCCGTCTACCAAGGTGTCAAGAATTTCCCCTTGCAAGGATAAGTCTTCGAGATGAAGCCTCCTGTTCCTTATCCGATGCTGGATTTCCGAAGCGACGTACTCAGTGATATCCTCCTTGTGAGCTGCAATCTGAATGTTGATAAAGCTGGTCTCCGGATCTTGGAGAATCTCTCGAATATTGTCTTCGTGGCGACTCAATAATGCCATAGAAATCTCATCACAGCTTTCGGCAATTGTGCATAGAGCCCATAGAACCTCATCTGTGCTGTCTTGGCATTCGTCTAGGCCGTCAACCACCAAATATACTCGATCGAAGGCTTGTGCCATTGTCACGATGACTCTTACAAGGTCATCTGCATCAGGGCGACGTGGCAAGCTCTTCTCGGGGTGAAGCTCGTTGTAATACTCTTCAAGCGTTACGTAGGCTTGTTCGTTCTGTCGAGCAAGCTGGTGAGCCAAGGCCCCTAGAACGCTTACTGGCGTCTGCGTCGACTCATTCTTGTAGTCACAGAAGAAGAATCCGACGGCTACGGTGTCTGAGCTTCGCACAAGGGCTTGTCCGATGATAGACCCCGCCAGAACAGTTTTACCTGCACCGGGGATTCCGCTCAGCCAGAGTCGCGAACAGGGGCTCGAAAGCCATGTCTGAAAAGAAGGAAGACGTTCAAGCCACGTGCCGGTCATTGGATGACGTAGCTTTACACTCATTTCGTAGTTAGGCTGCGGATTGTAGGGCAGAAAGAATTGGAGGATTTCTTTCCGGCGGGAATCCTCTTCAATCCGCACCACAATTTCTCGAGCCTTTTGAACTTCGGCTTGAACTTCGGCTATTGCTTTTGCTCTGTCTTCCTCTGTTGCAAGGCAGCGTAGTAGTGCCTCCATGGAATTGGCTGTCAAGGCCAAGTTGATATTTTCTTTGTGGCGGGAGAGGTTGGCAAGCAATTCTTTGGTCTTCGAGGAGGTGTACGGCCACATTAGCTTCAGGAGCTTGCCTCTCGGGTTCGCGTCGTATTTCTTGGTCTTCTGAGTGATCTCGTTGAGGATGAAAGCGCATCCTTCGATGTGGTACATTCGGAACTTCCGATTGAATGGCTCGGCTTCCATCTCGTGGCCTCTCGCTAATCTCGACAGCATACTGACGGCACCGCCAAGCAGATTGACCTCTTTGCAAAGGTCATTGATTTCTGTCTCAGCATCTTTGACTGACTTGATGTATTTTGTCAGGCGCAGGAAGACAATATCCGCGAGAGAGATAAGACCCGCAATGCTAGCAGAAATGCTCAGCGGGTCAGCCATGTCGGCAGAACTTGACGAGTCGCAGTGCTGGTAAGAATGCGCAATTGAACTTCTAGAGGAGCTTAGCACAAAGTCGTAGCTTAGATTGGAGTCTTTGACTTACCTTGAGAATGACCGGTGTCATAAGAAGCATGGATTCCGCACGGTGTGGCCAAGGTTCTGGTCCACAACAGATAAACGACGGCACTCGATCTTTTAGATGACAGAGAAGGGATGGCGTGTGGCACAATTGTTGAGGAGATGAGGGGATGGATGGCCACGCCGAACATTCCCCCAGTCACTGAAAGACCCAGGAAACACCTGCATGATTTTACACGCTGGCGTGCAGAAGCCAAGGCCGCACCAGGAGAGCTGCGCCGACTCAATTTACATCCAATTGGTCGCCTTCTCCGAAATACGCCTCACTCTGCGCAATTTGGAGGGAAGAGGGGATGAGTGCCGCCTGAGAGTGGACCATGCCCTAAAACAAAAAGAAACTGATGTTGTAACAATTGGCCAAAAACAGATGCCACAACTCCATTGCGTCTGGCATTTTCCGACAAAGCTGATTATCGGGTGGGTTTAATGGTAGCTCGTGTTGTGGGGTACACATTGAGCCTGAATGGAGTCATGTCCAATGCAGATGGAATCTTGTTTCCAGTTCAAAGTCTGGTTGGCTTTCCGGACGGGTTCTGGGCGAGCTGCTAGGTGCTCGCTCGGAAGGGGGTATCGGCGTTGGAAAATCTGATTCGACCATTGTGAACTTGGCCCCAGAATCAGGTGCTGACTATAGATTTCAATCCATGATTTGCAAAGTAAGCAGCCTGATTGAAGGATCGGTAGGTCAGCATAGCCAGCCACAGGTTTCATGACCAGTTGGTTGGCCCACCACCCCCGGCAGCCTGATTTTGAGAAGCGGAGCGCCGCGTTCTGGCAAGCCGCCAAGTCTGTTGCGCGAGCCACAGCCTGCCGCAGTCCAATGAACGTTTAAGGCAACTAGTTGGAGCCTGAGACTGGGAGTCTGCCTTTTGTGACAGGTGAAGCTCAAGTCCTTGGGCAGGTTTCACTCTGCCCACTTTCCATTATTCCCTGCGATCTTAATCTGGCGATATGGCTGAAATCGTCGGCATCGTCTTGGGTCTCGCACCTCTGCTTATCCAAATCAGCAGCGGCATCGATAGGCTTCGCGACATCCGCCAGAACATAAAGGAAGCTCATAATGAGTTGGACTTCCTTTTAAGTGAACTGAATTTCGTGGTTCGTCTCATGCAATCGGTCCACGATGTCACATATCGTGATGAGCAGGCTTTCGCTCATTGCCAGCGAAGCTGCAGTCGAGTCCACCAGAGTCTTGAAAGGCTGATAACAAGGATCCTCGAACGCCCCAAAATGGGTGGAACATCGGTGTCGAAACTGTGGATCTTTCGTCATCTGAAGGAAGATCTCGTAGCGCTACAGAGGGAAATCGATTCAGCCAAGATAAATCTGAGTTTGTAGGAGCCGTCTGTTCATGCCCCCAGCTGCCAGATGACTGATACCTGACACAGATTGCTTCAATCAGTTCAAGTCAGACATCTGTGTCTCCAAAGCCCCTCTTCGGAAGGCACAGAAAGCCCCTCTTCGGAATCCTCCACTCAGACAGCCGCTCTCGGATCGACCAATGAGTCTTTAGGGCTGGGACCAGAGCTAACAGAATCTGCCGCTCCGTTGTCGAACCAGGCCATTGACGTCGCGAACACACATCAAGCAATCAAGCGCCAGAAATTGAAATACCGCCAAGACTGCTTATCAAGATCTTGTTGCTGTCAATGCCATCACTCAGAGAAGGCCTCCGGGCGCTTTTGGGCACTCGACTACAGCCTCATGGGGATCTTTCAGACATGCAACGTGGAAGAATGTAATGCAGCGAAGTACGGTGTGAACATTCGATTGGCTCTGACGCAGCTTGGCATCCATCGATCTGTTGTGATAAAGGTCCACTTTCTCAGCGGATTGGGGTCCTTTTCACCGTCGTTCAGTCTCCAGACTGACTGCACCGTCCCCTACACGTCTCCAGGATTTGAGGTCATTTGGAGGTGCCAGAACGGGGCGATCAAATACGAAGATGCTCGGAGTCGTCTGATACATCTCTATCAAAATGACCCAAGCTTTCGGTACCACGTGAATCCGGCTGGAAAGTCCTACATCGAAGTAAGTCTTACATTGCGCTTTATTTGGCGACCACCTTTTGCTGAACATTTGGATAGGAGCTTGTACGTTGTCCATGGGGCGGGTTCGCCACCCGGAGACAGCTTGGACTTTTGCAACTGCTCATGGGCGATTTGGGCATGGTACAAGGCAGCATGCATCCCGGGTAAGCAAACCATCACATTTACACATACCTAATAGAGAAGTCAATTTGGGCGGAGCACCGAAATGCACTACTCAACGTCTGAAACTGACAAAACTTGGACGTAGATTCCTCACAAGATGCGCGAAATGGATTGGGGAAGGACCGCACCTCTACCTCCTCGAGACGCTGATCGACCTTGATTTCGACGCTGGAGAGGTGGAAGCTCAGGCATGGCCAGAACCTTGCTCGTCAAATTGGATATCCGAGGAATCCACGCCTGATCCTTTCTTTGTCGAGTACATAAGCCTTCTCTCCAAGGATAACCAGGGTTCGCTACAAACCGTTCACCAGTCGTTTAGAACTTACTAACTTATGTCAGGTTTCGCTGGCATGACACCCCTTCATGAGGCCGTCTTGTTTGGATCACCAGATTCGGTCAAGAAATGGATTGAGTGCTCCAAACCAGATCAGAAGAACTTCCTTGGCCAAACCCCACTTCACCTCGCAGTCTACAATCCCGAGAACCTGACGGCCCTGATAGAATCGGGACACGATGTGAACGCCCTCGACAACTATGGCATAACGCCACTGATGTACGCAGCAGCGGCTGACAAAGAAGATGCTCTCTATATTCTCATCAACTCCCATGCCGATCTAGATATCGTAGACAGACGAGAAAATCGCACGTTCTTTGACTATGCTATGGCAAGACGCAACTGGGCTCTGATCTACAATCTTCTTTTGGTCGTTAAACAATCCACCACGAAAGAAGTCGCAGAGTCCTGGGTTCGAGCAGCAACAATCAATGCTCAGTTGTCATTTCCGAAACTTCTTTATAACAGTCCGATCTCTCTTGGTCACTTGCTAGCTCTGTGTGAAGACGTCAACTTCACGTATGACGGGGTAAACGTCAAGAACAACTGCCTTGCCCACGACATCATCACCTCGTCCGAGTTGGAAGCCTTGGTCAACAATGGGTTCACCATGATCAACCACATCAACAGCCTCGGCCAACACGCTCTCATCAACGCCGTGAAGCTGAAAGACGTCGCCTTGACTTCTAGACTCTTAGAGCTCGGAGCTAGTGTCAACCTCGAAGACAATCAGCATCGCACAGCAATTGGGCACGCGCTGAGGGGCCTGCAAATTAGCGACTTCAATCAAACACGGTTAACAATGAACGTTGTGAGGATCTTGCTTACTGCCGATGCGAATGTTCTCGTCAGAGATCGTTGCAGATGCCCGTGCTCACCGACAGGCTGTCTCACTGCCGCACCGAAGGAGGGTCGTAGGGACCGTTTTGGACGTGGCTTCCAATGTTCCATATGGTCATTGGAGTGGCTCATTCTTATCCAACAATATCGAGGCGTCGAAGTTGCGAGAGAGGTTGTTTTGTCCTTCATCCGAGAAGAGACACACAAAGATCTGGACATGACCCATGTCTGTTGCGAGCTTGAACTCGACGAATCCCCCCTTCGATTCATCTTCAAGTCAAAGAGGTCCGAAGATGACATTGTAGAAATCATGGACGAGGAGCAGGAATTCACGGACATTCTGAACAGTGACATCGACCACAGAGACGAGGAGGAATACGAAGCTCTCCTTAACTATTGGTTCACCCTACTTCGAGACTCGATTCGAAAAGCCAGCCTGAAGGCCGCAAAAACAAAACCGCACAAACGCCCAAGACAAGTAATTATAGCGCTCATATTTGAAATCGTAAACACCGAGGCTAACTCAAGATACAGAAAATGCACGAAATTGACTACAAGAACGATTGTTTCATTTTCAATATATCTACTGATACAGACTGGGCCCAAAATCCAGAGCCGACCGTCAAGAGCTCGGTCTGCAGTTACGTCTTGTGGATGGAGCACGAGTATCACCACGGGCAAACGTCCCAGCTCGAGACATTCGCTCGAGAAGCCTGGTATTCGAAACGTGTTTCATTGCTTTGCACACTGCTCGACATCATTGAAATTCGCACAGGCTTTCTTACTGATTGGGTGGGAAGAATGCAACCATTGTGGATAGATGGTCGCGAAGATCCCATCGATCCCGAGCCATACATCAAACACTTCTTGGCCTCTGCTAACACTCGATGACATGTGAACCGCGAGGACTACCTGCAGGATTGGATTACCATTTTGCCCAAAGCAAAGCTTAGGGTAAAGACAGATTACTGGCTACATGTATGATGAACGGGAGCGAGGGAAGCATTGCAGTGCCTCTGCGGAAGTTCGCTGGTATCTAGAAGGCCTGAAATATTATTTACCAATAAAACGAGCGCCGGCGCCACCGTTGTGCGTGATGTCCGTACCCAAAGCCCCTCAACGAGTGCAAAGCCAGAACCCCGTCGCGACCGCCACAACTTCAAACTTCTCACCTAGAGTTCCCCGAAGACCCGTCCCGAAGAACTTGAACCTGTAAGGCTCCGCCGAGCAACATGCAAGACACATGGAGATGACAGCCACGATCTCCCCTCTACCGGTAGCCTGCGCCGGCCTCTGAGGACCCGTCCCCTGAGTCTTGAGAGGTGCCCCGTCACCAGTTCGGACCCCAGGCAGAGTCGTCGGCCGGGGCAACCAAACCAGCTGGTAGCCCCAGGTACATCCGACAGTGTCCTTGATCGTCTTGCCGCCCGTGAAGTTCCACCTGAACCGCTCCCAAGTGAGCTCGCCGTTGGTCACGATGGGTATCTCAAAGATCCACCGCTGACGGGAGCTCACGAACATGCTGCCGCTGCTCATGGTCGTGGTGAACTGCTCCTGGTGAAGTTCCGGGCGAGCCTCGACTGTGACAATGATGGATCGCATGAAACTCATTCCTGGCGACTTGCCGACTGTCACCAAGGTGTCATGGCCGTCGGTGGCGCCATCGCGTATCGTGATTGTCCCCCGCTTTCCACTGAATGTTCCAGCGCGGTAGGCGGCATAGCTGTGTTTCTTGTCGGGCGAAAAGATGCGGAACTCGGGCCATGGCGAAATCGGGCCCCAGGTCCGCAGCGCAGGTGGCATTTTGACCGTGTCGGAATCTGCAATCGCGCCGTTGGATGTCGAGCTGCCGGAGACTGATTCGGAGCGAGTGTTATCGGGCGCGTATCGGGGCGGCTGTGATGACGGAAGCAGCTTGTCCGTTGGCTGACCCATTGTCCAGCGATAGGACGGAGGGCTCTCGTAGGAACCGCCACTCGACATGGACGCGATCGGAATAACCTCACATTCGACCGGGTTGGTCCTCGGGACCAGAATGGGATCCCTCGGCGACATGCTGTTCAGGAACTAGGTCGTCGGGTGGCTCGAAATTCGCAGGAGTCGGACAAGCAGCCGGACAGGCAGCACACACATCAAAGGTATACCGGACATTGCAACTTCAGGAGACGATCGCACGAAGACTGAAGACCGCATCTAGATATAGCCCAGCTAGCCACGCTGGCAGACGGTTCCTGTGAAGGAAGGCCCGGCATTGATCTAGCAAGCGTCGTTTGACATTTTGGCAGCCTCATAATGCAGAAACACCGCGACTCGCGTTATCATTGGGTCTTTTCCTCGTATGGAGGATTTCTGAGTGTGGCTTGCAATCCAGCCTTTATTCTTTTCGGAAACCTAATCCTGCATACCCTATTCCTCGTGTAGGCTGCATAGAATTTTGCTATCTTTAACAGTCGCTCGGACGGTAAGCTGACCGAATTATTCATGCATCTAACGGTCGGTGCTGCTTTGGAGCAATGTTATTCGTTTACACAGCTTGAGAACGGTGGAAGGATCATTTGCCGGTCACCGCTTGCAATGCCGGGCCGAAGTGTGGGTCAGTCACGGAGTCTACGGAGAGGTGGGTCGTCAACGGAGCCCCACCCTGGCCGGAATGGCGGCCGAGACATTGAGTGCCGACGCTGGAAAAAGCCTTCTCCAAGACTCTTCGCCGTTGGGTCGCATCGCTGATGCCTGGAATGGAATCATCGATAGCCTGCAGGGGATATTGGCTTGGCAGCTTACCGGTCCCACGACATGCGCCCCTGCCGTCGCCAGTTTCGAAGCCCGAAAATACCTCGAACAGCCAGGGCTTGCTGCAGTGGGGGAATGGCCCTGCACATGGGAAATCCGCCTGGGGCTTACTCAGGACATCCCGGTTGACAGCTCGAACGGCTGGGGGATGGGGACCGAGACTTTATTCTTCGGCGATTCGGGAACTCCTAAGACGCAATTAAGTCGCCGTACCGCCCATATTTGCAGAGCAAAGACTCAGGGCGCTGACTCCGGACCCCAGATGATCTCCCGCAGGCCGACGGAAAATCATCCAGGCACCTTTGCATCGTAGTCGGCTAAAAAGGACCAAATGAACAAACCGTCTGTTGGACCCTGGCTCGTCTCGGCGCATGCAGGACAGAACGAGGTGCCAAGTTGGTTCTAGCGCCAGGCACAGAAGATGGTGCTAAAAGATGACCAACACACGCCACCCCCAAACGTTGCAATCTCTGGTCTGTCGCGTTTACCTCGTTCGTCGGCGATGTCTTGCGATGGAGCTGCTCGCGATGTTCCAAGTGTCCCCATGGCTCCCTTTAAAGCTGAAGACCCAAAAGATCGCGCGCACGTGTGAAACGATCCAGATTGGTTGACCCTTCAAACTCCTCAACGCCACCACTTCTAATCGTCGGCGCACGAGGGGTCAAAGCCTTTCATGAACGCCCCCTGACTGCAATTTCCTCGCCCAAAAACAGCATGGGGGGTTGCAACCACTAAACGCCACGAAGCTGCCCGCTCCTCGAGAACATGGTGCAAACAGGCGGGCTGAATTGTCCGCGATCCCAATGCAACCCACGCCTGCAGGTCCTCTCGTAGGACGCCACGGTGCTAGGTGCCCACACACCACCGCGTCCGAGTTCCAGGCCCGAAATCGCCGTCAGACGGGAATGGAATGGAAGGGTGAAAGAACAATCGCGCAGCTTCATAATGGCGCCCTGCCCTGCCTCACGCGCCCATGGCCTCGCCGTTTTGACAGAGAAACTTCTTGTCCTTCTTCCTCTTCGGGTTGTTTTGCCCCCCCTTGCCTCCTGATCGGGCCTTCCAACGGCTGACGGTCGAGTCTCCATTTGGACCGTGTTTGCTTCACGTTGTACGGAATAGCATCATTGACGGACGTTGTGACCGTCAAAACCCGCTCGCTCGCCCCATTGAAGTGGGCTGCGTCTGCCAATCCTGCGCAACATTGTGCGTTTCCGCGTTCGAGAACACAACTCTAATCATTCAACCGCTGGGACGAAGGAGCAAAAAGGACGACGATGATGATCAGGCCGTCATCTTGGGCCCTGTGGGCTACGACGCTGTCAGTCATGCTTGGCGCGTCCGCCGTTGCGGGCCAAAAATTGGAGGATGTCCTCGCGAAGCAGGCCAATCTCACGACTTTTCGCGATCTTGTCAAGGTGAGAAGAAAGCAAGAAAGCACAGCCAGCGGGCTCTCAGAGCCTGCTGCATCATCACTAGCCAGTGCGGGAGCGCTCTTTGATATATACAGAGGCTTGAGGGTCGCATAATGCGCATGCGCAGGCGACACTCAGATCCCCAAATCCACTCCACCACGATGTCTCAAGCCTCGAGAAGGACCAAAAACAGCCTGGGTGACTGACTCGAGGCAACAGGGAAACAGCGAAATCTTCTCGAAGCTGCCCAAATCTGGCGTCACGGTACGTTATTTTGCATCCCAATCAGACCCCTTCAGCTGTCAAACCTGCACGAAGAGCTTTGGCGATGCACCTAGCGACAGCGGCATTACCCTCTCTCCCTTCGCCCTGTCACGCTTAGACGAACCGATGGGGCCTCATCGTGCAAGCCCTTCATGCAGCGCGAACAAAACATCCCTATTTTTTATTTTCTCGGGACACATCTTCTGACGAACGCCAGATCCTCGCGCCGAGCGACCAGGCCTACACCAAGGGCCAGGGCTGGGACTCCGACAAGGACGGCATCCCCGTCGCGCTCCAGTACGGCATCATCAACGCCAAAATCGCCTTCGACGCCTTGTTCCCGGGCAACTCGTCCATCGAATCCACCCTGCTCACGGACGAGCGGTACTCCAATGTCACGGGCGGGCAGAGTGTGCTGGTGACCAAAGGGCCCAATGGCGAGGTGGTCGTGACGTCGGGGGTGGCCCAGCGCACGACGGCCGTCGAGACGGACATCGAATTCGATGGCGGATATGTTCAGATTATCGACAGCTTGATGGTCCCGCCGGCTCGCATTGAAAAGACTGCGCGCGATGCGTATACTGATCTGACGTCGTTCCTGGGGGCGCTGTACGCGGCCGACCTGGTGACTGAGTTCGCCGAGACTCAGAATGTCACCATCTTTGCGCCGCGGAATGCCGCCTTTCAGCAGATTGCGGGCACCGTGTCCGCGATGAGCAAGGAAGATCTCCGCCGGGTGCTGCAATATCACATTGTGCCTTCGACAGTGTATGGCAAATCAGCCCTGATGAGTGGAGCGAAACTTCAGACGGGGGTCAATGGGAGGAACCTCAGCGTGACGCTGTACAACAACGACATCTTCGTCGACTCGGCGCGCGTCATTCAGACGGATATCCTCATCGCCAACGGCGTGATCCAGATTCTTGACGCGGTGCTCAACGTCAACTCGAACAACACGACGCCCAACGTGACCGCGGTAACACAAGCGCCCGTCTTCACCGTCACAGGCAGCGCGGAAACAGGCACCGCGGCACCGACGCCATTCGTCTCCGCCCTCCCGTGCACCACGGACTGTCCCGTCACGGGCAGCGCCAGGGGTGGGGCCGGAGGGACGGCGACTGGAGGAGTCAGTCCCAGCTCGAGCACCGGAGGTGTGGCCGCGGCGCGATGCACTGGTGGCCTTGCCGCTGCAGGCGTGGGGTTGGGGTTGGCTGTGGGTGTGTTGGGGATGGAGGCCATGGGTGTCGTCGTCTGAGGCGGACGGGGTAACATCGGGGGCAGGGAAGAAAGATGTAATGTCGAGATGGTTCATGGGATAGTTCGGGCGAGAGGCTCAAGTCGACTATGCTGCTCACATGGCTGATGGACTGTTGGTGGTGCAGATGCAAAGAGGAGGGGGGGCGAGAGCGGACTGTGTTTCTGCGT